TGGTGTTGACCCTTTTAATATTGTATTCTTGGTGGTCCTCCGTTAGGTCCCTTTGTGTGTGTACACGTTCCAGGGGCTCAGCACTTAGTAGTTTGCTTGTTACCATGGGGGTGCTGGTTAGCAGTACTATGCCTGGGCTTTCCTTAGCAGAGCATCTAAGGGCTCTGGAAACCCCCACTGGGGCTCAGTGGTCCGATGGATGCGTTCCCTTGGTCCCATCTTGTTTTATGTGAGTTTGAGGGTTGCTCTGTCCCCTTGTCTCAGGGTGACAATCACCTGTTCTCCTAGACCTATTTTCCTGCGCTCTGTCAGGTCATCTTAGAGTGGGTTCGCTTGGGTGTGGTCAAAACATCCTTGTCCCTCAGGTGGGTTTCCCGCCTGTTTCTGGTTCCAAAATGGTACTGCGCGGACCTGTGGTTCATTCTGGACTTAGCCCCTGGGTCTATTGCTCCTCCTTTCGGATGACTACTCTGTCCCAGGTCCGGCTTCTATTGAAGCCGTGCGCTTGAATGGTGTCCCTGGACCTCTGGGATGCATATTGGCACGTCTTGAGTCATCCGGGGGTTCAGGGGCTGGTTGATTTTGTTGTGGGGCGTCAGGCTTTCCGCTTTCATTGCCTTCCATTCGGCTTGAATCTGGCACTTCACGTGTTCACATGCCTACCTGGGTTGTGGTGGCCCGTCTGCATCTGTTAGGTGGTTCGGGTTCTTCCTACCTCAAAGACTGGCTGGTATGGGCTCCCAGCCAGTCCGCATGTCTGCTCCCCAGGGATTTGGTTCTTTCCCAGCTCGCTGGGTTCTGGTTCCTGGTGAACTGGAGGAAGTCCCATCTGCTTCCCTCTCATGTTCTGTCTTGGCTAGGTATCATGGTGGGACTCTGACCACTTCCTTGTCTCTCCTTCCAGAGACTCTGCTGCAGCTGCGATCCCACATTCAGCTGTTTTTGGAGGGCTCTCGGGGTCATGAGGCTGTTGTTTGAGGGTTTGTGTAGGAGTCTGAATTTTGCCGTGTTGGTCTACCGACTGGGCCTGGTTTGGTTTGTCTTCATCGGTTGTTCTGGTACCTTCGAAGACATCCCTTCCGCCTCTCTCTCTCTCTCTCGCAATCACTGGGTTTGGCCTCTAGGTGCGTTGCATCGGCTACTGCGTCGCTGGATTCCTCTTTGTGTTTTTCGAGGTTCGGTTCCTTGGCGCTTACCCGAGCTCTTGCTCGATGTGTTCATGGACATATTGTCTCTTGGCTGGGGCCTTGTGACCAGTGCTCACCAGACCGTCCAGGGGTGTGGGGTCTGTCCTTTCATCTGGCCCACAGCACAGTGCGGGAGTTCACCACATACGGCAGGCTCTCAGAGGTGGATCTCTTCATGTTGATGCGGTCGAGGTGTCTCCTGTTGTATGTGGTGCCCTTTCCCAACTGTGAGGTCATCGGATCAATGCTTTCAGGCAGGACTGGTCGAGGTGAGGTTATGTGTACCTCTTCCGTCTGGTCTTTCTGATGCGGGTCTATCACCACTTGTATGGTGAGCAGGTGGCATCATTGCTGGTGTCCCACCTGTGTGCTTCATCTCGGTGGCAGTATGAAGTTTCCTGGTGGTCCTTTTATTATTTCTTGTCCTTCGGTGGGTTTTCTTCTGTTTTGGATAGAGTTGTCTTGTCCTTTCTTTTGTGGTTGTTCTAGAACCAACATCTTATGCTGAATACTGTTGCCCCCATATTGTGCGGTGCTGTCGGAGCCGCTTCAGCTTGTGTTGGGGTGGATGTTACTTCTGCTCTATTTCGCAAGCTGTCTTGTGCATTGTTTCCCCTCTGGCTTGCTCATGCGTCACCTGAGCCGTATGAGCAAGCCACCTGAGCCGCAACCAAAGGGGTTCAATCCTGAACCCCTTTGGTTCAGAATTGTTTTGCAAAGGCTCTCTTTCCTGTTGGCATTGCCCTCTAGGGGTCAGGTTGGGGAGCTTCATGCTCTCCTCCGGCACAGGGGGTTTCTGCTCTTTTGGTCCAAGTGGTAGGTTTGTTCATTTGCAGCAGTCTCCTTTTCTGGCGAAGAATGAGACTGCTACTTTCAGGAGGGGATCATTAGGTTATTGATGCTTGGTTTGTTCAGCCGGGGGTGCATCACGTGTTGTGTCCGGTTGCGGCTCTTCACTGTTACCTGCGTACCATGGCCTCGGTGGCCGGGGATGCTCTTTGGGTTGACTCGGTTTCCCTGCTTCACTGTTCCAGGGGTCGGTTCTCCCAGGTCATCCGCAGGGTTATTCGGTCCAGCCAGCATGCTGTCTATCCTCGTGCCCATGACGTTCGTAAGTTTGCTGCTTTGGCTACCGTCTTCGATAACATGTCTTGGGGTGATATTCGGTCGCTGGGTTTTCGGAAGTTGAACAGGGTCCTGGCCGCTTGCTACCTTGTCAGTGTTCCTGGCCCTAGTCAGGCATGTGTCGCATTGGGTTGGCAGTTGCAGCCAGTTATCTCGACTTCTAGTTGAGGAGCGAATAGCGATTGGCTCGCAGGTAAGTCTCTCTTGTTTTTATCTTTGGTCAAGTAGCTCCAGGAGTGTCGAAGGGGCTCTCCACAGAAAATCGGCATTGAATGTAATGAAATGCCATTATCTGGGTGAGACCTGGAGACTCCACGGCATCCCTCCCTCTCTCCAGTCAGGGGTTTTCGCATATTTTGACATCCAGCCTCAGAACTGGGGTGTGGATTGCCGTTGCTTGGATCTGTGACTCCCCCTTCTCCCTCCCGGGGAGGGGGGGAGCTGCGCAGACGGTAGCTCAGTGACAGTGGTGACGTCAGGCTCGTTTGCTCGTTTTCATTTGGGGAGTTCTGTCCAACAGTTCAGTTTTCTGTAGCAATTTGTTAACCAGATAGGGATTGTTTTGGGGAGCCTACTTTTCTGGGTGCCTGACCAGGTCGATGGCAGACATAGAATGCTTCCATCCACACAGAGGTTTATGTAGGCCCTTGCTCCTTGTGCCTCTCTGAGGGGGCCAGGTTCTGGCTCATGGTCCCAGGTAGGTCTAAGAACTCTTTTCGCTTTGACTGATGCCAGGGTCTAATACATTCATATCAGCCCAGATATCTCCAGGGAGCCTCCGGGTCTCGCCCAGAAAATAGCTTTTTTTTACATTCAACGCTTGATTTTTGTCCACCTGGAACCATCTGTGGCTTGCACAGATTTGTTATAGTACCTCCTGTGAAATGTGGACCTCTTTTCCATAATGGGCCTGACCTCTTTTGAGAAGGGGTCTGTCCCTGCTTATTAGTTACAGTATGAAGTCTCAGTACACACAGAAATCACAATAGCGTGATGCATCAAATGAACAAATCCATGAGGGCCGTGACGAGGGTTCAGACCTACGTCCGAGAGGATCCCAGACGCTGCCTTAATCGACTGAGCTATGATATGGTTAATTAATTGCAACCGGAAAAATCATCCTGATTTACCATCGGTTCCTGCAGTCTCTTTGAGACACAAACCAGGGTTTTACGCAATTCCCCCATGTACCTGAGCTATGTCAATAGGCTGTTCTACCTCTTCGCCCTTACTTCATTACACAATGAAGTAGTGAAGTAAGGGCGAAGAGGTAGAACAGCCTATTGACATAACTTGGGTGCATGGGGGAATTGCGTAAAACCCTGGTTTGTGTCTCAAAGAGACTGCAGGAACCGATGGTAAATACAGGATGATTTCCCGGTTGCAATTCTTTCATCATGTCATAGCTCAGTCGATTAAGGCAGCGTCTGGGATCCTCTCAAACGTAGGTTCGAACCTTCGTCACATCCCTTGTGGATTTGTTCAGATGAAGTCTCGGGTTCATCCTGGCTAGATGACAACCCCCTTTTTCTTGGGACCTTAGCAGGGGGTTCTGTCAGACCCACACACTTGATTGGAGGGAAGTGAGCTCTGTCTTTCAGTTGTCCATAGGTGGGGAATTCCTCTGCTTTGCTCCAGAGCTGTCTATTTGTTCCATTGCTTTCCAAGGATGTGGGCATGTGGCAGTTCCATTTACAGCTGCCTGTGCTGTCTGGGGCTCTTCTCACAAAAGACCAGAGGGCAGGTTTTCACTTTGCAGCGATCTTGCATGTCTAGATCCTTATGAAGGGGGACCCTGAGCATCTGCAAGAGGATGTGGTGTCCCCTGGGGTCCTCTCTGGGGTTGGGAGACCATGCAACCTGCATTTATGACTTTTCCAGCCTTATTCAAAATGCGCGCCGCTCTTCTTTGGGAAACGGTGGCGGGATTTTATTCAACCCACCTCACTTGTTTTTTATCTTGTTTGTCACTTCCATCTTCTGTACTCTTGCTGTAGGGAGCATCTGAGTAGCATAGCTCAGAACTGAGGCTTTGGTTAAATATGGAAAGTTCTTCTGAGCAGATAATTCTAATGCACCTATTCCTTACTTTGAATCTCTGATTCTCTTGTTTACAGTTTTACCTTTAGGAAATTTTACCTATCAGGATATGTTTGGGCCTATTGTTTACCTGGTTGATGCCATTTATTGACAGTCAGCTGAGGTAGCCAGTTGGAAAACTAGTACTGCAATTGAGTCTGGGCTTTTTCTAGTGGTCCTGTGATGCAAGGTAGGGCTTGGAAAGGTTTGAAATATTGATGTACTTTCTGTGGTCATTCTGATATGATTCAGAAGGAATGTTCAATGTCACCCTGCTCTATCATAAGCCTGTTCAATGGGACATAGTGTGTCCTTTCATATTCACTCAGTCTGATATTTTTCTAATTTTGAAACATGGCACTACAATTAGTACCCTATGATTTATTTTCATATCATCTGGAATTTCATGAGAATATTACCTGAGAATGCCTAAGAGAAACCTAGATCATAAGTGTTGTATTACTGTATGATAAAAATGACTAAACATAATTATAGTGCATATTGAATGTTGAAGAGTCGCTTATTGACTACTTTTCTGATGATCATGTGGCACACTGTTTTGTCAGTGAACCCTCTGGGATGTTTATATGATTGTGAAATTATTTACAGATAAGGTTGATTTGTTTCGGTGGAAGACCTTGGGTGATATTCGGTTATCTTCAAATGACTATGGCCTGACAGAGACTACGTATAATATTGATTGGGAACCAGAGGGTCAATTCGCTCGCCTCACTTACCATACTCCTCTCATTAAAAAAAGAAGTGTACTTCACTACTTGGGGGACTGTAGACCATATCTTGATAGAGCAAAGGTAAGATTAATTCTAAGAAACCTTTGAGACCATGTTTTCTTGAAATTTGTTCATTATAAGAATGACAAGTAAATACTGAATTAACAAAATTAAAATTTTCAGGCAGAGGAGGATGAACGGCAGAAAAAACTGGACTATATCAGAAAAAAATCAGGAGAGAACATTGAAATTGACAGAGTTGATCCTCATGAAGCTCGGTTGTCTCTGCCAGTAATAGTCACTGGTTCCCGTGATGCTGCAACTGAAGCTGTGGGCTCAATATTAGCTGGTTTAGGATCCAATATAATGGACACTGATACCTTAAATCAAACTTTTGCTGAATTAGGTATTAATTTGTTATTTTATTTTATGAGGTGTAAACCATTATCAATCTTGACAGAACTAGCCACTTAACCCACAAACATTAAAATACAGGAAGTGATGACTTCCTAGTACTTTTTTGTGACTTATTGATCTTTGACTTTATCCTCATCTGTAAGGTCACTACTGTCTTTTTACTCATTCTTACATAATAAATGAGGTGAGGGGTGAATATAATGATCGCTAGGGCCAGTAAGCTGCCTCAGAGGACAGTAAGACTCAGTGTTATACCTGGTAGTTCCAGGGCATACCTTATACAGGGGCTATGTTTCCTTCCACAAGCTACAGAACTCAAGATTGGGTCAAGGATTTGGCAAACGAGAGTTTCAGGGTTCATACGGGAATTTATTGCTATAGTCTTAAACGTAAAGGTACAAGAAGGATTGGGAGCGTGGCTGTAATTTGTACACGCTATTGACACAAGACAAATATTACTAAGTCCCAATACTTGGACTCTCCTATCAAATATATATATCTGCAAACTAACTTAGTTGCCACATTAACTGATACACTGGACCAGTGCACTTCTTGCATTCTATTACCCAGTTATCTTCCCTATCCACTGGGACTTAGGCACTGTTGCTAACCACCTCTAATATAACACATAAGAACATAAGAATAAAGGTAACTGCAGAGGGCCTATTGGCCCATACAAGGCAACTTCTATTTATAACCAGCCAATCCCACTCATATACATGTCCAACTCACATTTGAAACAATCGAAGGGACCCCACCTCCACCACGTTACGCGGTAATTGGTTCCGCAAATCACCATCCCTGTTACCGAACTAGTATTTACCCAGGCCTTTCCTAAATCTAAACTTATCTAATTTATACCCATATATACATTACACATATACCCTATTGCCTCGTATGGGCCAATAGGCCTTCTACAGTTACCTTTATTCTTATGTTCTTATGTTTCATGTTCTGTTTTGTATTGATACTTTTGATACCTCTGTTAATATCCCCTTTGTTATGCCCATTCATCCACGCGTACACACCTCTATCATGTTACCCCTAGTTCTTCGCCTTCCTAGAGAATGTAATTTAAGCCTTGTCAATCTTTCTTCACATAACAGGTTTCTAATTTGGGGGATTAACTTTGTCATCCTACGCTGTAAGTGTTTTAGTGAATTTAATTCCATTCTATAGTATGGCGACCAAAACTGAACTGCATAATCTAAATGGGCCTAATAATGGCCTAGACCAACCAACAAAACCCAAAACTGTTCACAATAGGGCAGAAAACCATACAAAAATTTGTCAGTCTTCACTGGGGACATGTAATTAACCAATCCTAATCCTAGTCTTTTAACATTAGCACCCCAAGTACCATAAAGTTCTTGTACTAGTTACCACAAGGGGGGACTTGATCTAACAAGTGGGAGGTAAACCACCCAACTCCACGCAGCTCAGAGAGAAGTGAACGAGCCTCTCCTGTTTACACTTCTCCTCTGTCTTGGGGTTTAAAGGTTTTCCTGGATCCTCATCTACAGTAATTTTTTTTCATTTATCTTTTTTAAAACTGGTTTTCCACATTTAACACTTAAATTTTTAAACATGCTTTTCCAGTCACAGAATGTACTTGGAATATTTTCTTTTAAACAATATATGGTGGTAGTTTACATATTTTTAGAGAATGTCATTCTCTCAATGGGATTATAGACAACCTCTGTATATATGTACCTCCAACATAGCTTCATTCTCAGACAACGTAAGGAATCTTATCATAAATAACAATCTCAACAAAAATCACATCATTCTGGGAGGTGATTTCAATATTGACCTGGGTCTTCAAAACAACCCTCAAGTTGACTATTTCCGTAACAGCATGCACTCCTGTATGCTAATCCCCACAATCACCAAGCCCACCCGAGTCACTCAAACATCTGCCACTACCCTGGATCACTTATGGACTAATATAACAGCTCCCCTTACATCTGGGGTAATCTATGACAGAACAACTGACCACTATCCTACCTTCCTCATAGCAAACATGGACACAGCACCACCAGAAAGCAAGAAACTCTCATTCAGGCTACACCGTAAATCAGCTTTAGGCAATCTTTCTAGTGCACTTCACAATATTAACTGGGAATTTGAATTTAATAATACACAGGATATAAACTCATTAACTAACCTCTTTCTCTCCAAAACTCTAAGCCTCTACAACACTCACTGTCTCCTCCTTACCAAACAAGTAACTGATAAAAGAAAAAATAACCTGTGGCTCCCAAGTGGCATAATCAAATCAATCAACAAAAAACATGAATATGAAAAGAAATTTAGGATTGGCCTAGTTACAAAGGAAGTAGTTAAGAGATACTCATCAGTGCTTACCAGTATCATAAGAAAAGCTAAACTTTCATATTATGAGACTAGATTCAAAGAAGCAAAAGGCAACATGAAAAGCACATGGAAAACCATCTCTAATATCCTAGGAACTAAACAACACTCCCACAACCAGATAACACTCTCTAAGGATGGCCTTACACCGTCATCTGATTTAGAAATGGCGAATGAATTTAATAGCTTCTTTTCATCGGTTGGTGCTAACCTTGCCAGTAAAATCCCACAGACTCGGACACATATCAACACATATCTCTCAGGCAGCTATCCAAACTCTCTTCTCCTTTCACCAGTCAGCCCGACAGATGTTGTGTCCATCATACACTCACTAAAACCCAAAGCTGGAAACATCAGTGAAATACCATCCATTGTATACAAGAGCGCCTCCCACGCCCTTGCGCCACCTATAGCTCTGCTGTTCAACAAATCCCTTGAGTGTCATACCTTCCCTGATATCCTTAAAAAAAGCAAGAGTAGCGCCAGTTCATAAAGGAGGTAATCCGGCAGACATAAACAATTATAGACCAATATCAAACCTACCCATACTATCAAAAATATTTGAAAAAATTATCTACAAACAGCTCTACTCCTACCTCGTAAAATTCGACATTCTTAGCCCCTGTCAGTTTGGCTTCCGCTCCCAAAAGAGTACCAACGATGCAATTATTAGTCTCCTTGATATAATTTACTCAGCCCTTGACAAAAATGAGTTTCCGATTGGACTCTTCATTGACCTGAGAAAGGCCTTTGATACTGTTAATCACAATTACCTCTTACGTAAACTCCATCATTATGGAATCCGAGGCCATACACTGGACTATATCCAATCCTATCTTAGTGATAGACACCAATGTGTAACCATCAATAATATAACCTCTCCCACTCTACCAATAACCGTTGGAGTGTCACAGGGCAGCATCTTGGGGCCTCTCCTATTTCTTATATACATCAATGATCTGCCTAATGTCTCTAACATTCTGAAACCTATTTTGTTTGCTGATGATGATACCCTCATCTACTCTAACCCCAACCCACATACACTAAATAATGTTGTTAATAATGAACTAAAAAAAGTCCACTTATGGATGTCAACCAACAAACTAACACTTAACATAGAAAAGACCTACTACATCTTATTTGGAAGCAAATCTACAAATGCAATTCAGCTTCAGATAGACAATGTAAACATTAGCAATAAAAATGATGGCAAGTTTCTTGGCCTATTCCTAGACAAGAGACTCAACTTCAGCAGCCACATACAACACATAACTAAGAAAGTCTCTAAAACAGTTGGTATACTCTCCAAAATCAGATATTATGTACCTAACTCTGCTCTCATCTCTCTATATTATGCACTAATCTATCCCTATCTTAATTATGGTATCTGTGCATGGGGTTCAACCACTGCAAACCACCTCAAGTCCATCATCACCCAGCAAAAATCTGCTATCAGAATAATAACAAATTCTGCTTTCAGACAACACTCAGCCCCCTTGTTTAACTCCCTAAACATGTTAAACATAATCTCACTCCACAAATTCTCTTGTGTCAACTACATTTACAAAACCCTGTTCTTAAATGCAAATCCTGCTCTGAAACTCTCCCTGGACAGATGTAATAGGACCCATTATCACCACACCAGAAATAAATATCTCTTTGATATCCCCAGGGTCAAACTTAATCTGTGTAAACACTATGCAAATAAAGGGAGCCAGTCTATGGAACTCACTCCCTATTGAATTGAAAAGCTGTCCAACTTTTGCGTCATTCAAAAACAATACTAAAAAGTACCTAATTTCATCTTCATAGTTTTTTACCTTTTGCTTTAAAATTGCACTGTATCTATTGTTATCCAATCTCCCAATCTTTATGTACCCAATCTGAACATCTTTATCATTGTGATTATTGCTGTCTTCTTATATGTGCTGTCAATCTGCTGTATGGTGTCTATTAATCTTGTTTAAATTACCAATCAAGCTGTCAATGTAATCAATCAGAGCTTTAATATATCAATGTGCTTTAATATACTTACTAATCTCTCTCATCTCATTTTTTTTCTTGCAATGTATTTGTTATCATTTTATTAATTCTGATAGAATTTACCTACTTAAAATTATGTTAGATTAACCCTTAAAGTGCGCTTCACGTCATATGACGTGCTGGACGTTGTTCCAGTAAACTGCGCATCACGTCATATGATGTGTTGGAGTACTACGCAAGATTTAAACAGCCCGCGGATACACGGGGTTCGCCACACCTTCATCAAGGCTCTTGTAAACAGACGCCATTTTTAAAAAAAATCGTGGGCCAAACTCCCGGGTGTTATTGGCCTCAGTATTGAGTGAGCAACCAAGCCTGACGCACGCAGCATGAGCTAACAGCACTGCTGTTCAGCTTGTGACCACAGCATCGCCTAAAAATGCCAAATTATACTTGTTCATGCTATTATGTAGCGATGATATTATTACAGAAGACCCCTGACTGTGATAAAACTGACCAGGGTTCTGATAATAGCAGGATTGTGGTGATATTTAGCGCTGTGCGCCACGGAAGGACGTGTAATGCTGTGAGAGGGAGGGTGGTGGCCTATTACATTACAGGGAGGGTGATGTC